GGAGGACTTTGTGGACTGGTGTTGGGTTAATGGGTTAATGTTGGACTTGTGGGCTTGGGCAGCATTGGGTTGGGATGTTTTCATGACGCACATTTTCTTTACATAAAACTCTCTTATACATGAGTTGCTGTGGATTTGTTTCTCCAGAGTACCTAGACTAATACAACCTCATTTTCTTCTTTTAGATTTTCTTAGAGGATAGCAACATAGAGCTTTGTTTCACTTTAGTAAGTGCCTGTGGTTTTGATTTTGTTCATATTAACATGGCTGTGCACTATGCCCATACAAAGACACAAACGTTTATAACAATTTTACACAAGACTGGAATCAAGTATTAATATCGTGAAAAACTTCCTACAGTGCGCTATTACTCAGCAATACAAAATACGAATGATGTATACATGCAACAATGCGGCGAATCTGAAAATTACTTATGCTGAATGAAGGAAGCCAGATTCCAAACACAAAACAAGGCCTAGATTCTGTAGGATTCCAGTTATATAAAACACTAGCAGAGGTCAGTCAATCTGTTGTAATAGGAAACAGACTGGCATCTTGGGTGGGAGGTGGGGTCTAGTGGGCAAAGCCTGGCAGGAGGAATTTACAGGGGCCCAGGGAAACTTTTTCGGGTGATGTATGTACTCGCTTTCCGGATTGGGATGTGGTTTTGTGAATGTACAAACAGGTCACACTCACTGTACAGTTTTATGCCCCTCAGTCATCGTGAGCTGCTGTTGAGCTGGCCCTGGTTCATGGGGACCCCGGGTTCAGCAGAGGGAGATGTCATGTGACCTGCAGCATCACCACGGTCAGCTGTCAATCAGACGGTTTCATTGGCTGATTTGTGGAAGTAGTATGCCAGGCCTCAGGCTAGAAAACCAAAAACCAAACTCACTGCTATCGAATGGATGCGACTCCTAGCGAGCCTGGAGGACAGGTGGGGCAGCTTCCTGTGGGTTTCCGAGACTGTAACTCTTTACAGGAGTAGAAAGCCTTGCCTTTCTCCCTCTTCGTCAGAAGCTGCACTAAAACCTGTTCAGCAACATGCAAGCCTACATCGACAGACAGGAGGTGGCTGTGCACAAGGTGTCTTAGCTGGGCCTCGAACCTGGGCCTCCTGTGTGGAAGGTGAGATTTCCCTCACTGAACCACCGCTGCTCTGATAGACTTTAGCTGTACCTCAGTGGAGTTCAGCAATCCACCCTTGCACCCCTGGTTTGACAAGCCATTTATCAAAAGCTCCATCTCCATATATGTGTATGTTTCTAGATTCTCTTCAACTTTATTAAACAAATATATTTTTATTTAACTTTATTAAAATATGTACAATATGATTATTGTATTTCTACACCAATGGTAAGAATTAAACAGTATCTCTCTTTAATAATTAGTGTTGGGAGCCCAGAGAAACTATCTGGAAAAAATGCCAAACTGACTGAGCCATACTGAGACATCAAATGAGCACTCATGAGCTCTGTACCCCTCAGCCTTGGCCTTGGTCTTTCGTCTATAATCAGCTTGGGCTGTGGCATGAGTTATGCACTCCATCTAATACTGGTGGCTTTTTATTCTTGGTTGAGCATTGGGTTATGAACTACAAGGTCAGCAGTTCAAACTCACCAGCTTCTCCGAGGGAGAAAGCTTAGGTTATCTGCTCCTGTAAAGATTTGCAGCCTTGAAAACCCTATCAGGCAATTCTGCTTTGTTCTGTAGGGCCACTTTGAGACAAACTCGACTCAATGGCAGTTAGTTTTCCTTGAACTTGACTGGGATCGTTGGGCTGGAATTTATCAGAGTTGCTGCCTCCTGCTCTGGTCCTGCCATTTCTCACTGCATTAAGTTGGACTTTGGCCTTTCTGCCAGTAGACAAAAAAGCTTTTTTTTCTGATGAAATATTACCCCTGCAGAGAAACACTGTGTTTTTTTATTAGTAAGGGGACTAGATTTACTCATCAGGGACACCCAGCTTCCATTTATAATGAACTGGAATGCAGTGATCCTTATGTAAGAGACCTTTCTTCCTTTATGTTTTCCTGTAGTTAAGGAATATCCCTTGTCATATTACATCAATATTAAAGTCTGCAGAAGACTTCTGAAAGTGTTAAAAAAAAAAGCAAACCTGTCACTTGGAAGACTAAGGTGTGCCTGATCCAAACCAGGACATTTTCAATGGTCTTCGATGCAGGTGACATCTGGATAGTGAAGAAGGAAGACCCAAGAAGAATCGATGTCTTCAAATTGTGGTGCTGGAGAAGAATCTCACATAAATATGCCGTGGATTGCTGGAAGAATGACCCAATCTGTGTTTCCAGAAGTACAGCCAATGTGTATACTCCTTAGAAAGAGATGGTGCTGCTCAATGGTACATGCTTTCGATATGCGATCAGGAGGGACCAGTAGCTGCAGAAGGGCATGCTCGGAGGAGCAGAGGGTGAGCAAAAGAGGAAGCCCCTCCAGGAGCTAGCCTGATAGGGTGGCTGCAACAATGCGATCAACTTACCAACAATTGTGAGGATGGTGTAGGAGCGGGCAGTGTTTCATTCTGTTGTACAGAGGGTCACTGTGAGTCAACCAGACAGCACCCATCAACCGAAGAACAAAATCAGTTCACGGAGGTCAGTGTTATTCCACTTTGCATAATAGAATGCTTCTCTCAGACCTAGTCCGCTTCTTCAGAATGCACGTTTCTTCTAGGTACAGCTATGTGGGAATTCCTAGGTGGTGCAGTTAAGTGCTTGGCTACCAACACAAAGGTTGGTGGTTTGAAGCCACTCAGAGATGGCTCAGAAGAAATGGTCTCAGCCATGGAAACACAATGGGGCCCAATTCTACTCTGGAACCACGGGGCCCCCATGAGTTAGAATTGAGTGGACAGCACCTGGTGATGGTGGAAGTTATATGACTGCCCAGCAGCATGCCGATTTAGCTGAATGTGAGACAGTGTTTGCAGAATTAAAGGTCAATTTAGCGTGTGGTTAATAGGTGACTGTTCAAAGGAGTCACATTGGGTCTCAATCGTCCTGTTTTGGGCCCAGGACTTCATGAGTTGCTGAGGAGACTGAGCTATGTGTTCTGTTCATAAAGCTTCTCGCTCACTCGCTTGGATTTGAATATAGTTCTATTCTTAGGGTGATGCTAATCAACTTTTTAGTTTCACCACAAAACCAACCCATTAAACAATATGAACAGTTTTAATTGACATACAGTTCATATATCACCATTCAGTGGTTTGAACACATAAGAGAGTGTAATCATGACCACAGTCAACTTTAGAACATCCTATTCACTACTTAGGATCGTCAGCT